GATTTTATTGTCGTTATCATAAATCAGCGCATTGTTAATTCGCATGTTTGGGAGCACGACTGGTATCGGCTGCTGCCTTGTTTATAAGGGATCCTAAACAAAACAAAAAAAAGTGGTGACTCAAACGTTTGGGAATGCGCATTAGAATTTCAATAATGCCATTATAGCAGCTCGATTATTACACAGCGATGTCATCTTGTAGAAATATCATGGCTTCAATAGCAAGTACACTGCATTGTACGATTTGCAGAGACACTGTCAACTGACATATTGCGTGCCTGCATTTGAGACTGCCATATAAGGTCTAGTTGTTGTGCAACCTTTTTTTTTATCGAGAATTTACTTACCTTGATTGTCTGGTTTGGTTACCGACGCAAGCATTACACCAAATGAAACAGCGAGTGATTGCGATCGTAACATCAGTGAAAATCAGATCTTCATATAATAAACCATGGAATATAGTTGCCACATTCGTATTTATGTTTAATGACAAATTATTTATTCACAGAAATCTAAATAATTAATAGTGTAATAAATTTTCCACACGTTTCGAATAATCTTACAATGGGCGATGTACGTTGCCTCATAGTAAAGATGTCTATGGCACTCCCTTTTCATAGAATGGAATAGTCCAAAATATGTAATAACATTTCCGTGTGCTCTCTGTGTGTGTTTTAAAAGCAGCGAGAACGGGTTCGGTTACAGGAACGAGATGTCAGCACTACATACTGTGTTACGATATATACAGAATTACTAGGTGAGAGTGCATTTATTTCTCTCGAGCCCACACTAACAATTTTCTGGTTTTCTGATTTACATTTCTAGCTGACACGTGTTGGAGCGATATCCACTGCCAGTTCACACCATAAATGACCTCGGTATGACCCTTAAATGTACAGGGTCATGCACGATGTTCACCCATCCCTATTGTATATTTCGAATTAGCTGACACGTTAGGTGCTTTCACCAGAAATATCTATGTCTCTTTGTTTGCGTATCACATCGGAAATGAATGGGAATTTATACAAGTCAATTTTGCGAGATTTCCGTGTATATCAGCGCTAAATTCTAGACCCACATCACGCAGCATCTTGGCCTAATGTAAGTGACGGGCCAGACTTTATTTTTCCTGATTGCTCAATACAACAATCAACGTCGCAAGAAAACTAATTTCCTTACATTACGTCAAATCAGCCGATAATGCAGGAAACATGAACGCATAGGTAAATATAACTACATTTAGATTTTATTTAATTTACAGTGTGTCACAAAGGGGAGCGTATATTCAATGATCGCCGCCTATGGTTAGTCTGATATTGCAATCACATTTGCGGTGGGTATTTTGTGTCACGTGTATGTATGTACTTGTATAGGAACTTTGTCTTATTGAAGCACTGATAGCGATCCTTTCAGCTCTCCGTTCATCGTTCTCGTTTTCTTTTCTTTATATAAGACGACGATGGCGAAAAAAACCTTTATTGTGGTCGTGGGCGGCAAAGAAAGACGCTTGCGTGATTCGTGAAGCTTACTGGAATAACCGATCTGGTTCTCGCATCTCCGCTGACAACCATGGACTCACGACAACCCTGATTTCGTCTGACAAATCTTCATTGCACGTGTGAGTGCTGCTTCGTTGAAATTTATGACCTCAATCATGACAACTACAATGGCGATAAAAGACAGACTGTTCGTTCGGCTCTTAATATTATCGCTGTTACCGCTGTTAAATCTCTGTCTCTACGTCTATTTCATTCGTTCCGGCAAACCTGGAGGGGACACAAATGACAAGTCCGATAAAGGCGTCTCTGATTTCAGCCGACAGTTAGTGATGCTTCTTGGAAATGAGACATCCACTATCGATGAATCGTTTAACTGGTCCAATAAGCAAGTTGAAATCGAAGCTTGTAATCGAAATACGTCTTGCTTGCTACAGTATCTACATAATTCAGGTTTTCCAACGGATTTAAAATTTATTCTGAGTAATCCATATAAATGCGAGAGAACCGACGTCGCAGAGGCGGACATTTTTCTCCTGGTGCTTATTACCTCTCGCGTTGCCAATTTTGAACGTCGTGCCACGATCAGGCAGACGTGGGGAGGCACGGCGTTTGTAGCGAGCAATAGAGTTGCGACTATGTTTTTATTGGGTAACGATAATAATGATAAACTGCGAAAAATGGTGCGACACGAAAAGGAACAGTTCGACGATATTATAATGGGGGACTTCGTGGATTCATATCACAACCTCACTCTAAAAAGCATCATGGGATTGAAATGGGCACGTTACTACTGCCCAAAAGCAAAGTACGTTCTCAAAACCGACGACGATGTGTTTGTTAACTATGTCGCAATGGTAAATTTTCTACTCAGCTCTAATAGGTCGGATTTTGCCGTGGGTTATGTGTATTTGCACGAGTCGCCGAATCGCAACGCTTCTCACAAATGGTTCATGTCTCCTGAGCTGTTTCCTAGCAACGAATATCCTCCATTTTGTTCCGGTACCGGTTACGTCATGTCGTCGGACGTACTTCAACGGACGTACGACGCAGCGCTACAAACACCGCTACTGCCGCTGGAAGACGTTTACGTCGGTGTTTGCTGGGAAAAGATTGGCATTGTTCCGCGTAGCAACCCTGGATTCCGTGTTTACAGGCAGAAACTCAGCGCGTGTATTTACAGTACGCTGCTCACCATACACGCAGTGTCTGTCCGTGAAACACGACAAATCTGGAACTTTGTTCAGACTCGTTTTCCCGGTGGATGTAGAGAGATCCTTGACATACGGAATATATTTTCCCCTATATTTGAAGATTCCACTGACGTCTTGTGATCTTTCGCCGTTATCGCGTGGTACTAAGTAATATTCAAATACATGCAAATACAATGTTCTGGGTTACAGATCCATTTGTTTCATTGAATAATCTTTTAATCCGTTGCAATCCCTGACATCGTAGCATGTAACAGTAGGCAGTACTATATTTATATAGTCAGTGGATTGTTTTGTGTATGTATATGTACGTTTTTGTATCAAAATTGTTACAAAATTACACGTATGTGTTTTGCTCATTTCGCTTCAATTATTTCCCATCGCTATTCATTTTCCTATTACAGTACCTCACATTGATCACGAATTTCCTGCGAACCAAGTCGACACGCTCAATGTATGCTCAGACTAGTTGTATTACTAGTCTGAGATGTATGTGAAACGTCGGCGCATTAGAGAATGAATTGAAACTGGGGAATAAAATTAAACCTACTGCCACACGTGGCTACATTCCGTGATTGACAGCAGCGCGTGACAACGCGATTTGGGTCTCTAAAGAAATTAACGTGCGCTAAATAATGAGAACTGAATTCAAGGCAGGTATTGACTTCCAATAATGCACGTAAGAACAGTTATTAAAGCCAGAGTAGGTGAATTATATGTTTTACGTTGCAATCGATCGCAACTCGCTTTGTGTATAAAACGGTAGGTAGCATCTGCTGATCTGTTGTCATGCTTGGCGTACTATCAAAAGCGTGGTCGTAAAATAGTAATTACTTTAATACAAAAAACTACAATTACCTAATTTCCACGTAGTTCATGTAGTCAGTGGAACGTTGACACTTATTATTTAAATATTACGAGTACATGACCGAAAATGGGGAAAACAAGCGAATGTTCTTGTGAGCCGAATGCAAACACCCATCAGTTGTCAGTACGCCAAAAAGATAGAGGTCAGTCGAGAAGATACACGAAACAGGACACGGTAAAAAACAACAATTTAGGAAATAGTACATCGGAGTTTAATTTCTTTCTACCTGTGTAACCAATCTACATTCAGTAACAACGCAGCTAAATCAAATAAGACATGCCGTGTCACATTTCCCCCAAACCGCAGACAAACCATTGGAGATGAGATTACAAAGTGATCATAAATTCGATTGTTTGTAATAATTGCATTTTGTATACGAGGTCGTGATATTACATTCAGTCGCCTGTACTAACACGTGACTCTTGGATTTCTATAATTGTAAAATATATACCTGGGGTGACGTATATGCAAGTGACGTCGACTGAAACGCAGTATCAATAAAATGAAAGTATTTTTTTTTTCTTCTTTTACTAATTTTCAAAAGGGTTTGTGATGGCAAATGGGAAATGTCTCAGATTTAGTATACATGTGTGGAACGATAGTAAAGTGTCCCCATTATAGCGAATCGCCGAGAACTGTGGTGTAACGTCCACGTTCGGTAATTAAAGCATTGAATCGAACAGTGCTTACCGTGACTGAGTAACCTTACAATAC